TGTCCCAGTGGTGGAAGAGCCTGCGGTGGATTGGTGTCTCGCTTTCCCACTGCTAGGTTCCACCTTCGTGGCCCTCTTCATGCAAAATCAGCAAGCGGAAAATGGGTAAAAGAAAAAGGAATCAACTGAATGATGAGAAAAGAGAACAAGCAATACAGCATCCTTCTGCCCCATCTGTGTGTGTCCTTCTGTTCCAGTGGATGGTGACACAGTCCCAGGTGTGGCCGAGTGTCCTGCACAATCTCCGTGGGTGGCAAGGCACTTGGCGGGGGTCTGCAAACAGACCCGAACGCAGAGCAGAAACAGTACAGAGTGTGCACACACCTGCAAACACCTGCGCTCACACGCACATGCACATGCATATACTGGCACCGGCATGGGCTGGCACACACCGTACAGTCGGTAACGAGTACTGCAGACGGGATTAAACAGCAGACGTTCACCTTGCTGTCAGGAGGCTGGTGTCCGAGATCCTAGCGCAGCTCGGTAAGTTCCACTCTGAGGTCTCTTCTCTTGGCTGCAGGGGATGTCATCCCACCACGGGGAAGGGGGGCAAACTCTCTGGGATCTCTTCCCACAGGGGCCTTCGTGACCTCACCTCACCCCAATCACCTCCAAGGGGTCCCACTTCAAAACCCCGTCTCTCTGGCAGCTGGGCTACCACAAGTGAAGTTTGGGAAGACATGAACACACGGACACACACCTGCACTGAAAAGAGTGAAATGAATGTACAACATTTTAGCAGCTTTCCTAAAAATGCAATTCTTGTGGTGGGTAAGGGAGTTGGTCCAGGAGTCAGGCTACTAGAGTCCTTCTGGTGTCCTGTGATGAATTTTAAACCTTAAAGCCAGATTCCAAGTCAAAAGAACCTAGTTTCTGCAGTGCACTTGGCATAAACCTCACTTAGAGCCTATGTGAACTGAGCACGTACCTGCATCACACCATGGGAGCGGGGCTGCGGAGGTCCAGGATTACACATGAGCAAGCTTAGAGGCTTACAGCATCCTCCTCGGTCACCACAGGGCCGGGGCCAGCCAGTTCCAGGCCCTCCCTGTTACCCGAGCTCAGCCACCTCCTCCAAAGACAATCAGAAGACGGGGGAGACCTCTGTGGGCATGTGTGACCTCCGTCACCTTAAGCGTTGCCCCACTAGGGCTCCAGGTGGCAGGTCTCAGCCTGGCTCAGCCCTCCCTCCTCCGAGGCAGTGACTGGGGCAGGCCTACAGAAGGCTCTCTTCCACAGTTTGTTGAAACTAATTTTATAATGTTAATGAAGGTCAGCCTACTACGTCTAGAGAACAAGAAAGAGAAATTTCTATCAAAATTAATAAGATAAAATTTCAGCACTTAAATACATAGTTCTCAGAAAAGTCAGGTTTTTCTTGAATATCACCCTATCTCTTTTGCTCCAGCAGGAACCGGCCTCCTGGGCCAGGGCTTCCAGTACTGCCCTCGCAAGAGGGGCTGCCAGCTCTCCTGAAGTCTACCTGTCCTGCGTGCTCCTTACTGCTACTTCCAGACCTTCCTTTTCCTCCTCAGGAGTTTTACTCAGCTGGCACTGTTATGTCCTTCAGCCAAGCATCACTTGTTTCATTCAGCCTGTGGACACCTGGCCACGCCCTCACAAGCTTCGGGTCCTCAGGTAACCCTCCCAGGCCTGGCCTTCCCTTCCCGTGCTTCAGACCGTCAGGGATTTCTATCTGTTCTGCTCGCTGCTGAATCCTCAGCACCCACAACGCAGCAGGGCACACAGGAGATACTCAATACATATTCAGGAAAGAATGAAGTGGGTGGGACACCGAACTACTAACATTCATCCACAAAGTGGGATGCATGAAACATCACCCGCAGATAACAACGTCGCCTATGAACAAAGTTGCCATTTTCTTCCGAAACTTTGACTCTGCATCTGAACCTAGGCATGCTGTCCATCTGTACTAGACGGCGATGGTGGGACCCCGACGCCCACACTTTGCTCGGAGTCAAAGAACCGACCTCCGGCCTGCATGTTAATGTCACGGCCGGGACCTTGCGGGGCGGCATCCTCTCCAGGCCAGACAGGTGAGGCCGGCCCGCGTCGGACTACCAGTCCCAGCCCGGCGGCGCGCAAGAGGGAGCCTCAGGGCCACCCTTAAGCTCACGAGCAACGTGGGAGAGCCGGGAACCGCCCCGCCCGCGAGGCCCCCGCCCCGGTCTGCAGTCGGCCGCCTCCCTCCCAGTCTACGGGCAGGGACAGGCTGTCGTCGTGTCTACGTCGGTCACTCTGCGGTCCGTCAGCGGGTGGCCCAAATAAACGACTGCCTGGCCGTGGCCAGTCCTCACGGGCGCCGGCCGTGGCCGGGCCGCGAGTGGACGCGCGCCGGGCGTTACTGAGGCCACACGGCCCGGGGAGACGCGCGCTCCCGGGGCGGGGCGGTGAGGCGGGGCCGCGAGGGCCGAGGC